GGAAATGAAACGTTAACTAACGCTCAGATCCTCTGAAGCTTGTTAACTCAGATTTTCACAAAAATAAAGTAACTTAAAAAAAATCAAATACAATACTTCAGAGTATAGACTTTAAACACTTTTCATCTGAATAAATTTAATTCTGAATAAAGATTTTATTCTGGATAAAAGTCCATACTAATATTTTTCAGAATAAATTTAAATCTATCTTCAGAGAGGGGTTTTGTAAAAATATCAGCCCATTGATGGTCTGTATCAACAAATGTTTAAACTTTATATCCCTTTCTGAATATAGTCTCTGATGAAATGGTGTTTAATCTTTATATGTTTTGCCTTTGAATGTAAAATTAGATTTTTAGAAAGACAAACTGCAAAAGTATTGTCACAGAAGATAGGAATATTAGTCTCATGTATTTGGTAGTCCTCCAACTGACTCTTCATCCAGAGCATCTGGGTACTGCAACTAGAAGCAACAATATATTATGCCTCTGTAGTTGAGAGTGCTATAATGGGTTGCTTCTTGCTGTACCACGAGATCAGATTACCTCCCAGAAACTGACAGCTTCTAGAGGTGCTTTTGCGTTCAACTTTATCTCCAGCAAAATCAGCGTCACAGAAGCCTACTAATTTATATTCATCGGATCTTCTGTAACATAGACCCACGTTAGTTGTACCTTTCAGATACCTCAGGATTCTCTTAACAACAGTTAAGTGAGATTCTCTAGGATCTGATTGGAACCTAGCACATAAACATACACTGAAGAGAATGTCAGGCCTAGAGGCAGTTAAATACAGAAGAGAGCCAATCATACCTCTGTACAACTTCTGATCTACCTTTTTACTTACCTCTTCCTAGAGTTCAAGTTGGATGCATGAGAGTCTTAGCTGGCTTACTCTCTTTCAGATTAAACTTTTTCAGAAGCTCCTTCACATACTTCGTCTGATGTATGTAGGTGCCTTCTGGAGTCTGATTAACTTGAATGCCCAGAAAGAATCTTAGCTCTCCCATCATGCTCATTTCAAACTCTGCCTGCATTGACTTAGCAAACTCTTTTCCAAGTGAAATATTTGTGGTTCCAAAAATAATATCATCAACATAAATCTGACAGATTAAGATATCTTTCTTAATTGATTTATGAAAATGAGTGGTATCAACCTTTCCTCTGATAAAATTGTTTTCCAGAATAAAATTACTCAGCCTTTCATACCAAGCTCTGAGAGTTTGTTGTAGGCCATAGAGTGATTTATTTAATTTTAAAAAGTTTTATGGAAATCTTTCATTTTCAAATCCAGGAGATTGATGAACATATACTTCTTCTTCTATTAAACCATTTAGGAAAGCACTTTTAACATCCATCTGATACAGAGTGATGTTATTCTGTGCAGCAAAAGAAATTAGCAAGCGTATGGATTTTAACCTTGCCACAGAAGCATATGTCTCTGTGTAGTTAGTGTCGCTACTCGAAAAATGCATCGTGCAACGACGGGGAGGCGAAAAGGATAGACAGAAGAGTCGCCACCGAACTTTATTTATCCCATGAGGGGAAAGGAAAATATCGAGAAAACCTTAAGAAAAGAAATGGATAAGATGGTCTCGCGACCAAGAACGGGTTCGGAAGCCGGTTATGCGAGGGGAAGGTATTAGCACCCCTCGCATCCATCGTACTCGATGGGAACCTTTTGTTTGTCGACGTGTGAATTATATTTGCTAAAATATTATGCTATAAGAAGTGTTCCATGGGGTAAACAAGAAAGTTAGGAGGAAAGAGAGAACGGGGAAGAAAAAGAGAAAGAACAGACTCGGTAGAACTTCGCAGTCCTATGCCTACGTATTCTCAATAGATGTGAGAAAGTCAGAGTCGACGTAGTTCGGGAAACTACGGGTGATGGGGGGGATTGTGCTCGCCAAGGATTGTGGCCCTTGTGCCTACGTATTCTCATCTGGTATGAGAAATCAGAGCAGCCGTAGTTCGGCCTACGATGTGTTGATGTTTTTTATGGATGATGCTATCGTGCGCATTCTAGCAGTTAGGTGTTTTGCTGCTCGCTCGTTGGAGACTTAGGCGTTACCTGTTTGCGGTAGAACGGACGTAACATATCCTTTTTGAAAGACTGATTAGTTTTCGCCACGCGGGGCAAGAAGTCACGTTTGATTGATTGGATTGTTTTTTAGGGGGCGAGACAGGTCCTCGGATAGTAACCCCTACGGGTAGTACCCAATTTGTTATCTCAAAGTTTTTGTTATAAAAAGGTGTGGCGAACGAGGCGTCTTCGTATTGAAAGACGAGTATCAAGACCACACACACTACAGTGAGTATCCTGACACTCGGAGAGGAAAAAGACTACACTCAATCCTCTCTCTTTAGTTCAACACAAAGAGAACTTCATTCTCTTATTAAAGATGTTTTTGGTTTTGAATGGTAAGTGCTTTGCGACAGAGAACCCTACGGTAAACGTCAGCACTCGGGATAGGAGAAGGCCTACGCCTAACCACTCCACGACCATTCAAGTTTTTGTGAAAATGATTTGAAAATGCACTCAATGCGAGACCGAGGTTTTAAGTGACAAGGGTTGCGGGATGAAGTTGTGAAAACGAGATGGTGGATAAAGAATCGTCTTCGTATTGAAAGACGAGTATCGAGACCACCCTCACTACAGTGGGCATCCCAACATTCGGAGAGGAAGAGGTCTACACCTAATCCTCTCTTTTTAATTCAATACAAAGAATAATTAGTTTATTATGGTTTGAAAAAGGACTCGGTACGAGACCGAGGTTTTTTAGGAGAAGAGGGAGTGGCGTCTTCGTATTGAAAGACAAGTATCGAAACCTCCCACACCACAGTGAGCATCTCAACACTCGGAGAAGAAGAGGTCTACACCCAATCCTCTATTTTTAATTCAACACAAAGAATTTGATTTGAAAATATTTTCGAAGTTACATTCGGTACGGGACCGTGGTTTTAGGAGGGTAAGCGTTGAAAGCGAAATGGTCTCAGATCCAACGTTATTTATTGACAGTTTGACTTAATAACGATTTACGGAGGTATCGTCATCGACCCAAAAGTGGAACAAAATGTCCAATATCAAAAGAAGAAATGAAATTAACTTCTAAACAAATCTTAAAATCTCTAAGAGAAAATAGATAAAACTATAACTTAAAAAAAAATAATATATAAACTATACTCAACCCCCTTTTCTTTTTAAACAAAAAAAAACAAAATATATATATTATAAATTGTGTTAAAAACCAAAACAAAATAAAAAGATAAAGTAAAGACAATATTAATGTAATATGTTCAATCTATTTTATATATGCATAATAGTAATAATAATATATTATAGGCAGAAACATGATATTTACAAAAAAATGCTAATAATAACAAAAAAGAAGAACAAACCTAAGAATAACACGGGCAAAACATCTGGTTAGTGAAGAAAGAGGAACGAACTTGAAAACTCTACCTTCCCAGAAAAACGTGCGTCAGATCCATTCTCACACAATCGATTCACATCGAGAATATCATGATGCGATCTGGCTTCAATTAAAGCGGAGATTATGTTGTGGTTATGAAGATTTGGGTCGTACTCGTTGATGGTTTCTCCTCTTCTCCTAATCTTCTGTTCTGATTTGGATTAAAGGTAATAGGGGATTCGCTGGGGTTTGATGAAGGTTTATGTGTAGCTTTGAAGAAACTAAGAACCAACAGTGGAGATCAATGGAAAAAAAAAAGGTGCTGAACAGAGACGTAAAAATCGCCCACCATATGTTCGATGAAAGTTCTATTATGGCTTTGAGGGTTTCATGGAGATTTCTGGGTGATTTTTTATTGGAGGATGTTTGAAGGTGTTGGTGTTCTGAAGTTGGTTTGTGATTCTGTTGTTCGGAGTTTTAACGGGTTTCGTTGCTGATTGCGATGGCTTCGATGACGTTAAGGGAACTATCGGAAACATCGATGTCTGTCGAACATGAAGCTACCATGTCGAAGCTACTTATATTGGTGTCAATGAAGGTTGAGAAATAGCTTTGTGTTTTGTTTAAGGGCCGATTTTGCTTCTGTTACGCTGCAGGGGTTCTGGTGTAAGTGTTGCAGCAGAGTTTTTGTGTTATCTGAAGCAACAGTGTTTCAAAGGTTTTATGCTATTGTGATGGTGGTTGCAGATGATGGTGACAAAGGGAGTTATACGGTGCGTGGTAGCTTGGAATGTATGGAGGTTGAGGTGAAGTTTAAGAGTTATGGAAGATGGTTGAAGAATGATGCTTGAGAATATGGCTTAGCAGAGGAAAGTGTGTTTGTATGTGGTAAATGGACTCAAGGTTGAGGCTGAGGAACAAAGGCACCGTGAATTCCTATTCTGAACGAGACCATCAACCTTCTTATTATATTTTTCTCGCAGATCCTTTTTGCTGTTTTTTCTTCCTCTTTTTAGTTTCTTTTTTTTAAAAATTGTCTTATTGTTGATGTCAAGTCATTTTCAGGTGCAGGATTTTTGTTTGTTGGTCTGGTGTGGAGTGGATTTGTAGCAAGCATGGTACGATTTCTGCAGGTGTGTGGGCTGGATGTTTTGTTTTGCAGGTATTGTCTGGCGGTACGGTTTGTTGTGTGTCTCCTAGGGCAACAATTGGTGCTAACTCTTGAATCGACGGAAAAGCGGTGCGTAAGATTTGTATGCCGTGACATTAGATGCGTTGTGGATGTGATTTTCAAGCTGTGTTTTGAAACATTGCGATGGATGTAGCGGGTCTGATTTCTGTTCAGTGCCGAGCCATAGTGTTGTGGGTTATTGGTAGTAGCAGAGTCGTAGCCATACGGATTTATTTTAGCTGCTGACCAGAAAGTCCAAAATGCTTTTGCAGGACAACTCAACTTTCTCAGCTTATATGCTTCAACCACTACCACATGTCTGTTGATGTAGCTCATTATATAATATACTCACATTCACATACGTCCTGGTTTATCTCATTTCAATGATATGACATCTTTTCTTGGTCCATGAATGACCTATGACTCTGGATCGTCTTTAATGCCATCAAGCATAGGTGGAGACGATGCACCGCTAACTCTGCTGGGCAATGGTGTATTCCTTCGTGAATGGCGTTTTGTAGGTACAGTAGCACTCTCAGTTTCCCACTTAAGACTCGTTACATCTTCCTCCTCATCAGCATCCTCAAGGCTAGCCTTAAAAACTGGGTGAACATAAGCGTGTTGAAGGTAACCTTTTATGTTCAGGTTCGGATCTGTAGCTCGTTCTAATGTATCTTTCATCATCGCTTCCTGTAAGGGATATTTAGAAAATGCAGATTCGAAACGGCCTTTGCAGTATATATGGAACCATATCGTCAGTACCGGTAGCGCAATGAGAAAAGGAGTTGATGAAGCAGCTCTTTTGGTGGTTAGGAGTCCCATCAGAACTAGCTGTGAGACTATCAGTGCAATTATGACACGGAAATGGACATCAGGCCAGAATGCTGCACCACTCTCGTATTCTTGATTATAAACGTTGATTATCTGATGGCGGAACACAACATAGGCCAACCCAAAGAAAATTATTATGAAAGGAAGAACAGTAGGTGTCACTGCAGCATAGACTAGGCCCAGCAGAAAGTACAATTGTATGCGAGGTTCTCCAGTGTTGAAACCTATACTTCCAGGATCCGTGGCCTCTTCCCTGTCCTTTTCAGTCTTAACCAAGAAGAAGTTCTTCAAGTGATATATAATTAGTGGTTTCAACATCAAAACCTCAGCAGCTATACCAGACCATCCATCAACCATTATATAGGTGATGAAGAAACTAGCTGTTGCGGTGGAAATATGATATCAAACTATTAATTAATTTGAATCGTATTCTTAAATCACAACCGCTCTTTGATTTATCCGAAGGAAAAGGTCAAAAGAGGAAAAACCTATTTTTGCATCGTAAACACAATGCGGGGAGAGACCTAGGTAAGGGGTTGGTTAAGTCTAGGGAAGGTACTAGCACCCTAAACTTCTGTAGTACTCTACAGGAACCTTTTGTTTATTGTATGCTTTTTATTTTATTTTATTTATTATTATCTGTATATACTGAATTAAGGGATAAAGTGACCTAAAGACCTAAGGGTTAGTCCTAAGTTTACTCGGCAAGACGTCGCATCTTGTGCCTACATATCCTGACGGGAATGGAATCAGAGTAATTGTAGTTCCCCTAATTAGGGAGGTTAGAAACCTCTTGACTGTGGTCAAGGTTTCAAGGGGAGTAAACGTATCTTAAGGACACGCTTACGTGGAGTCTTTGAACTCCTATTTCTATGTTGAATTTGTTAATTGAAAATTAGGGTTAAAATTAGGGATTCCACGGCGGGAAACCCTAAACAGAGTACGGCGACTCTTTGACCTAAAGCTAGGGTAAAGGGTATTTCCGTCCACGGCGGGACACCTAGGCTAATTATGGTTTTGAAGGGTTAAGACTATTGACCCGGTGGTCAAACGGCTAGACCTAATTCCTTCGGAAGGTTAAATGGTAAAACATGCAAACAGGACAATATTGTACAGCATAATCAAAGGCAGAAAGGCAAAGAAACGGTAAAGAAGCATCGCGGCCGTTCGCGTAAATTACAAACCCCAAGGGGCCAAAAAAAATAAATAATAAATAATAATAATAATAATAATAATAATGCAAGGCGAGAAAATGAAACAAATAAGTCGCGACCATGGCCTCGCGTAAATTACATCCATGGAAATAAAATAAATTGAATAAATAATTTAAATATAATCTGAGGGGAGACACAGAGAACATTAGTGGAAGGGTCAGACGGAAATTCATGGCAAATAATAAACAATTAATATTCAAGGAAAAATAAAAGTGCAAATTGTAATTATTATTTTATTACTTTTGAAAAAGAAGTTAAGGTTAAATTTTTTTTAAAAAAAGAAATTTAATTTGAGTTTAAAAACTTAATTTTTGAAAAACTGTTTCTCTTAATTAATAAATTGTCATTGGAATATTAAAAACAATTTTAATTTTAAAAAGTTTCCAAGTTATTACAAAAAGTTTTTTTTTTAATTTAAGTAAAAAAATTTTAAAAAGAGAAGGCTTTAATGTAAAATATTATGCGTTCTTAAAAAACAAAAAAAAATTTAATATAATTTTTTTTTTAAAAAAGGTGGTTTTGATTCTAAAAAACTACATAGAATTTATATATTCTTTTTGCATCAATATAACACTTTCAAGTATCAATTTCAAACTTACCCCAAGGTCACTACGTATTGAATTCCTGCAGTAATACTTTTCCACTCTAACAATTGAGAACAACATAAAATTATGCTGTTACAATTCAACAATTTTAATTCAACAATTTTAATTCCAATTTTAAGGAGATCCAAACCAACTTCCTGCTCTTGATGCAATATATTAAAACTATGAATAGAAATATACTAAAGAAAAAACTATAACTATAACTATCAGCTAACATGTTAGTTTTAGACATTATCATAATAAAACAACAGCCACATACCAACATAATAATGAAGGATTAAATAAAACGAAAGAAAAAGAAAAAAGAAAAACAAAAGATAATGAGTGGTCATTAAACGAAGTGGGGTACACGTCTGTTGGAGAAAACCCTTTAGGTTTTCATTTCCTTCTTCTTCCTTCCAAAAGTGGCCGGCGGCCATGCATGCTTTCACGAAGCTCTTTCGTGATACTTCCTCATCTCGGATTTCATGTTTGTTCTTCCTTTTCCCGGATTCTACAAAAAACAAACAACAACAGCATGAAGATAATCATAGTGGCTTACGGTTTCGTGAGTGTTCTTGATGATTAAAGGCCGGTGATGAAGTTTTCTGAGGCTATGAAGATTGCCCGCCGTTTAGAAACAGCGATGGCGGTCTTCGATGTGAGTTCGTGGTTTGCGGCTTTGCGTTGTCTTCGCGGCGCCGTTGAGTTCTCTGATTCGCTTTTCTCCGACCGGCGATGATGAACGAATATTATTCTGAGCCGCCGTTTTGGATCCGCCGCCGCCGCTTTGTATGTAAGCTTCAGGTTTTCGTTCTTGTTGCCTTAGGGATTTTTATGATTTCCTGCTGATTTTATATCTAGCTGTGATTGTGGCTTATGAGACCGTTGTGGCGATTTTCTGGCAGATTTTTACGGAAGATCTTGTTGAGTTTGCTGCTTTTGAATTTGTTTGTTTTGACTGGGCTTTAGATTTTGAACCTTACGTTATTATTTGTTGGATTTGATTTTATGTGATATTCTGGACTTTGGATATCCAGGAATTGATTTCGGATTTGAATTTGTTGGGCTGCTTACGGATATCCATGGATATTTTTTATTTTGAGCCTTGGATTTGGACTTCTGGATTCCATAACATTTACATGATAGAAATGAATATCTGGATCGGATTCTGTTAGTGATCTGTTTGGTTGGATAATCACCTTTTCGGCAAAAATCATCTTTCGGCATAAACTTCTTTTTCTCTTCTTCTCGGCAGTCCCGAAAAGAACGGATACTATCGGTTGATGCTGAGGTTGAGGATGGAAGTGGAAGTAGGCTTCGGCAATTTGTCGTGCCCTTCCGACACCCTGTGATGACTCTGTTCTGAGGGTGTCAATATTTTCTAACTCGTTCTGCTTGTTTTGATTTTCTGTGTGTAGGTACGAAAAAAGTCGATGAATAAACGACATGAAGTCCATCAGAGAAATGAAGAGCTCTAAGAAATTTTTAGGATAAATATACAATGCAAATTATTTTTCCTTTTTATTCGCAACTTGTAAAAAATACTTATGACTGAGAGATTCAATAATATCGTATTCACAATTATCTCCTCTTGTGGTAAATAAAATATACATGAAAAATTCATATATATATTATTATTATTTCCTTTCCCTGAATAAAAATATTCATGAATAAATTCAATTATATTTCTATCCAATTTATCCGAGTCTTGTACGCCCTTCATACCTTTTGCAACCGGATGACCCCAAAAGAATATACCCGATTTAATGCGATCCTATCAAGTACGTTCCAACTTATGCCGATCCATTTAAAATACGATACAATCTTCCCTTCTTAAATCAGTTAAATTGTGCCTGATGATAGAATCGACGATAGTCATGAACGGAGTAAAACAGAACAGAAGCAGAGAAATCCGATTAGCGGTGAAAACAGAAAGCTAAACCCCGTTATTAAAAATTCAATTAGCGTCCCTGATAAAATATCAAACCATAAACCAACTCGGCCCAGAAATCTTGATCCAACATCAATCAAAAACCCGAGTCTGAATTAGACTTTTTACTGTTTCCTTTCTTTTGAACCTTACAATAGCAGAAAGCAGTGGAAGCAGGAAAATATGCGCCTATGAAGTAAATTCAAGCGAGTGATTGCCTACGCCTGTCGTAACCCAAATCAAATTAATATCTCAACCATGATCAGCCCTACACAATTAAGCAACAACCTTGGAATCTAGCGACAGCAAAATCTCAGCTCCTGAATAAATTGTTGTATCCTAAAAACTCTGATGCCAAAATTCACTGTATTTCTGCTTATCCTCAAAAATAAAGAACTCGGAGACTGAGGTTTTGATTATTCCAAAGAATCCTGGTGAATACCCGTCTTCAAAAACCCTCAGTAAATACTGCACAAATTACCATTTTGCCCTTTTCACAGTTAAGGCATACTAGATGTAATTCCTGCAAAAAATAAATAGACTACGTAACATGTTAATAGTTAGCGGATGCAAAAATGGGATGTCATGCTATATGAATCGACTAATCTGAGGGTAAAATTTGGGGTATTACAGTTGCCCCTATTTAAATAGCTTCACCGGATGATTTGAGCGATGAAGGCTCGAGAAATCATGGGGGAGGGATTTAAATATAGATAACCGAAAATTTTGCCCTTAGATGAAGTGATATGCAATGCTATGGACAAAACGAAAATAAACTATAATATTGACAATGCCATGAATTTAGTATGGTGCGTATGATGGAATGGTAAATGCAGAGATGCAGACGACACGTCGACATAGGGGACCGACGCGACGAACGAACCACACTGGGAACACGACGCACTGGGTGACAGCACGACACTGGGGAATTCTAAAGTGATAGTCAACTGGTGCGAGTACGACCAATCATCACTTTAGGAAAAGGAATGGTAAGAGCGGGATCCTCAATGGAGATGGGGGAATTTAAGAGTAATCATCAACAGGTTCAGGCGTGACTAACTGATACTCTAGAGTAAGAAAATAAAACTGGATCTGCACGACTGTAGGATCGATTAACAAGATGCTGGAGCATTGAGCGAAGAATAACATCCGACTTCTGTAAACTTTCCCTCGTGACAAGATCAAACGGAATTTAGGAATCCGTAGAAAATATACAGGGTAAAATAGGCTGTATGCCAAAATAAATGGTCTTAAATGGGAAACGCCCTGATAAGCTTTCTCGAGTGAGAACTGCCACTTATCGTTGCAAGGGACTTATATGCCAAACTGGATAAGCTCTCAAATAAAGAGACTGTTGTTTATCTGTGGATAATAGATTGATTGATAATATAAACTTCTTCACGTCTCAAGTCTGTGCTCCCTGGACATGATTCAGTTTCTTTTTTTCTAAAGGATAAAATAAACGTCTTCATAATTCGAGATCGGTGCTCTCTCGAATATGATTCGGTTCCTTCTTTTACTAAAGGGTAAACGAACTTCTTCATACTTCAAGATCTGTGCTCTCCTGAATATGATTCCGCTCAAACCTCCCCTTTCTTCAAAATAATACGGGAAATGGAAACCAAA